TGCAGGTGCACGCCAGGGGCCTTGGATACCCCTCCACCAACCCCCCTCCACGAGGCTGGAGTTATGACTGTGAGCTGACTGATGAGTGATGGCAACAGAACCCAGGTCCTCTGGAAAAATAACTGCTGAGCCATCTCTCCAGCTCCACATTAATATTTTAAAAATTTATTCTTCTCCTGCATTTTCCCCTCCCTTCTCCCCTCTCAGCCCCCCTCCCTCTCCTCCAGATCTGCTCCTCCTCCCTTTCCCTTTAGAAAAGGACAGGCCTCCCAGGGACATCAACCAACACACCGCATAACAATTTAGTAAGACTAGGCACATTCCCCCATATTAAGGCTGGATGATGTAATACAGTAGGAGGGAGAGGCTCCCAAAAGCAGGCAAGAGTCAGAGACAGCCCCGGCTAGAGACCCACAAGAAGGCTGAGCTACACAACCACAACATATGCAGAGGACCTAGGTCAGACTCATGCAGGCTCTGTGAACCCCTATAAGCCCTGGCTAGTTGATTTTGTGATTTTGTTAGTTTTCTTGACCCCTCTGGCTCCTACCATTCTTCCTTCCCCTCTTCCACAGGGTTCCCTGAATTCCACCTAATGTTTGGCTGTGGGTCTCTGCCACATCAATTGCTGGATGAAGCCTCTCTGATGATTATGCTAGTCTACGAGTATGGAAGAGTACCGTTAGGAATCATTTCATTAATTCATTTTCTTTTCTCTTTGCCCACAGTGTTCAGTTCTATACTAGGTCTCTGGGCCATCCAGTCTCTGGTTCCTGGCCTTCCAGGCAGTGTCAAGGGTGGGCTTCCTCTCATGACATGGTCTCAAGTTGGAACAGTCATCAGTTGGCTACTCTCAAATTCTTTGCAGTCTTTACCCCAGCACATCTTGCAGAACAAAGGGTTCCTGGCTAGTCTGGTGTCCCAGTCTCTCCACTGGAAGTCTTGCCTGGTTATAGAAGATGGTCAATTCCCCATTCCTATGAGTCTTAGCTAGGGTCACCCTTGTAGATTCCTGGGAGTTTCCATTGTACTAGGTTTCTATCGTGTCCCCCCAAGTGCCCCCAGTTCCAATTGTCTTTCCCAGTACTCTCTCCATCCTCCCCTAACCTGTTCCCTCCTCCTCTTCTCATCCCCATCTGCCCATTGTGTTCCAGTAGTGCCCCTGGGAGCACCCTCTGCTTTCACAAGAGCAGGATGCAAGGTGGTGGTACAGGGAAAGGATCATGGCACTGTGCCAGACATCTCTTTGGGCAGGAGTTCCTACAACAAACATATCATAGTTCATGTAATTTGATTAAATGTGAAGATACAAGAGGCAACTTTTAATGAAATTTTAACTCTTTTTAATTAACCCAGAGTTACTTTAATGTTCTTGAGAAACTTGGACTGAAGAAAGCTCAGGATAATGAAGATAAGAAAATGTAAGACTTTAAAAAAAATTTTTTTTTATCACTTTCAAGTTCCATATGAAATGTCTTAGTCACTTTTCTATTGCTGTGAAGGGACACAACCAAGGCAACTTTAGAGGCAAGACCAAGCCATTCTGTTCCACAGGTGAGGCCATGGCATCAGGCAGGCAGGTGTGGCACTGGAGCAGGAGCTGAGAGCTCACATCTGATCCACAAGCACTAGGCAGAGAGCTAACTGGGAATGATGTGGGCTTTTTAAAACCTCAAGTGGCACTCTTCCTCCAAGGCCACACCTCCTAATCCTTCCCAAACAGTTCCACCAACTGGGGACCAAGCATTCAAATGTTAGCCTATGGTGACATTCTCATTCAAGCCACTACATAAACATTCAATGTAGGATGAGGTTACATGCCTGTAAAACTATCATTAAGTTGAAAATGCATTTCACACCTTTAGTTTACCAAATGGTCCCCAATGAGAGTTAAGGTTGATTGTAAAACCATCACCATCTGGTGTGGTGAATCTAAACACTTTGTCTTTCTGACATCAGTAAGCCTTTTGATTTCTGAGGCCATTGTGAAACTCTCACTCATTTAAAATTAATACGTAGTCGGGCGTTGGTGGTGCACGCCTTTAGTCCCAGCACTCGGGAGGCAGAGACAGGCGGATCTCTGTGAGTTCGAGACCAGCCTGGTCTACAAGAGCTAGTTCCAGGACAGCCTCCAAAGCCACAGAGAAACCCTGTCTCAAAAAACCAATAAATAATAAAAAAATAAAATTAATACAGAGCTGATAAGTAGTCCACTGGCAGAGGACATGCCCTGCACAGGAGGCTCTGGGCATGCCAGAGGCACTGGGTCCAGCTGGCACCACTGAAAACAGAGCACGGGACATATTTTGCCACTCAGGAAAGGCTCTCACAGGAAAATAGAGTAAAGTTCCCACACAAGTATAAAGCAACTCTAGTCTACATGTATTACACGGCTCACTCAACTACCAAACACATTTCACAGTAATACCTATGAATAGGATTTGGGCTTACCATGATGTTTATGGTAATACTTATGGATAGGATTTGGGCTTACCATGATGTTTACAGAAATACCTATGAATAGGATTTGGGCTTACCATGATGTTTACAGTGATACTTATGAATAGGATTTGGGCTTACCGTGACGCTCACATTTACTAGTGGTAAGAAAGTGGATTTGTTTTTCAGCCACAGTCCCATTTACATATTTTAATGTCAGCACTAGCCATGAGAACCCATCCAGTTCCTCGCTGTAGATCTGATTGTTCATGGTTCACTGCCTTTTCTACTCATGTTACTTTGCATTTACAGTAGGAAAACCACCGGAGATTTGGCCCAGCAAGCCAGAAAAGAAGGCTTTAATGAAAGCGTAAGATTTTAATTCATTTTTGTAAACACAAGTGATAGCTCTATTAGTTCTCATTAATAGAAATAATTATAGCAACAGTTGTCACCTCCAATACACCCCTCAGAATAATCAGGAGCCTTTCCCGTTTATGACAGGGCATAGCAAACTGCTTAAAGAATGGAGTCCTATTATGGAATTTAATGAATAGATCACTTCTATTAAAAAGACTCATGTCAATTTTGACAGATCTGGGGATGTTTCTGGTGCATGTATGTGTGAATGGGCATATGTACAGACCAAAGTTATTATCTCAGGAAGGCCATCCTTTAAAACAGGGTCTCTCATCGCCCTGAAACTCACCAATTAGGCTAGACTGGCTTTCCCCCCAAAGAACGTGTCTTCATCCCCAGCCCTAAGATTTCAGTGTGCACTGCCGAGTCAGCATTTTAAAAAGATTTATGTGTGTATTTGCACCCAGAGTATAATCAACCTGGTCATTTTAGTAGTTAACAGTATTAGTGCAAAAACTCAGGCGCTGCAGTTAGCAAGTTTCCCTGGCAGCAGTGGAGCTCCACCTAACAGTGCAGTGGAACCACAGTGAAGGTGATCAGAAGCACTAGGCAGCAGTCCACTCAGCCACCTTGAATCAATTTCTGGACTAAATACACTTAGTAAATTAATGCTAAGTTGTCCTAGTTCAAAGTGTATTTGTTTTCTAACTTCATTTGTGGGGTGTACTTGGGTGTACGTGTTCTTGTGTGCAAACGGAGGGCAAACCAGCACTACCTATTTCCTCAATTGAGATAGCTGTACTGAACCCGGAGCTCCCTTGTTTGTCTAGACTAGCTGGCCAGCAAGCTTGTCTCAGCCCCCACAGGGCTGAGGTTACAGGGACACGATGCCACAACTTAGCTTGTGACCTAGCTACTGGAGATCTGAACTCAAATCCTCAGGCTTTCCTGGCAATTGCTTTACTGAGCCAACCCAAGCTCCTTTTGAGAGATTCTTGCTATGCAGCCCAGGGTGCTTTAGCCTCTTATAATACCAGCAGTCAAGTGCATGCTACCACACCTGGCTTACAAAAACACTTTTGAATCACACCTTGATACACTCCTTCTTCCCTAGGGCTGTTCCTTATTTCCACACACATTTCATTTTTTTCCACCCTAAATTTGAGAAAAATGAGGCAGGCGAGAGAGATGGCTCAGCAGGTAAAGGTAAAGGTACTTGCTGCCAAGCCTGATGGCCCTGCAAGTTATCCTAACACTCACCACTGTGTGTGTAACACACACACACACACACACACACACACACACACACACACACACTGAAACATAATCATGTACTTGCACACAGGAAAATCAGTACTGGGGAGAACAGTTCATAGGAAGGCCTCCTCAAACTAGGAAAGGGCAGCAATACATTTTCTAATGAGAGACTTGTGTTGTGGTACATGGCACTGGTGCATGCAGGCCACAACCCAAGGCAAGAGTCACATCTGTGCAAGTCTGGCAGAAAGCTGCTGGGAGGGCAAAGAATGCCCACAGATGCATGGGGTGTAGCTCAGAGCAGAGCATTGCATAGCACGCATGAGACCTTGGGCTCAATACTCAGCACTTAACAGAAGAATATGAGCCTTGACAATTAAAGCCAGGTGCAAAAGCACGAGGCAGCAGAAGGAAGTTAGCAAATAAGACCGGAACCCTTGCCCATGCGTACTGCGTACCTCAGCCCAGCCTTCCAGGGTGACTCTGATGATTCAGACACCATGCCGGTAATCTTTAGTAGTTTACTTGGAGTCTTAAACACCTACAGTCTGCAGCCTATATTTGTCCTCTAAATTGACAGGAGATCCAACAAGCAGAGCATATGAAAACATGGAAGGAGAGACTTGAGAAAAAGTATTACTCTACTGAAATTCAAGATGACTACCAGCCTGTCACTCAGCAAGAGTTTCGAGAGTAAGCATTTGTTACATGCACCAACATGAACCAACTGTGGTACATGGGACACCAGGATATGCAGACTGAGGGACACACGTTATGTTATTCCACACTGCTTTATGGAATTCTTTCATTTTTTGCAGTTTCAAAACTTAAAGCACAAACCTCCATTTGCTTAGACAGTAGGCCAGCATGTTGGAGAGTTGGCCCAGGGGTTAGGAGTACAGGCTCTTCTTCCCGAAGATCCACCTGGCAGCACACATTCTAATTCCAGTCCCAGGAGAGCATATGCACCAGGCATGCACATGGTGCAGACATACACGCAGGTAAAACATACACATAAATTTTAAAGTGAGACAAATGTTCCACCTCTATATGGAAGGGCATAGCAGGCCTGTTCTCAGAGCTTTCCATCAGCACTACAGCTGCCCTGTAAAATGTGATTCCGGAACTTGTCATCCTATCGTCCTCTCAAAGCACACAGCAGGCATTAATGAGCTACTGTCTACTGCACAGAGCTATCACACAAATCTCTACTAACTTTAAACTCTCTCTTAGACTCTTCTTATATGCTGTGGAGCTGGAGAAGGAATTACACTACATCAGTTTAAAACTAAACCAAGTGATGAGAAAGCTACAATAATACTGGAGGTAAGATGGGATCCAGTGCTCTAATGAAGGCTTGTTAGGTACTTACTGGATTATCCCCTGAACATGTCGCCATCTCTGGCTACTTCATTGTTCTTTCACTGTGCTGGGAGTTGAGTACAGAGCCCTGCAAATGCTAGGCACTGAACTACATCTCCCCAAGACATACTTTAAAAGCACAAAAGCAGCTATCGGTTCTAACAGATGGTTTCTGTAAATGGGTGCAGCTGGATTGAACCCACTGTACAGTCCACAAGTTTACCAAGCACTTCCTATAATATGCACATGGGCACACTCACAGGGTTTCTTCAATGTTATCTATCATTAAATTCTGGGAATGTAAAAGGGAAGGAAAGTTAATGCTTCTTGGTCATAGGGCAGAGTTTAAAAACTGGGAGCAGACCTCTAAGGTTGGATGGAAGGTAGAGACATAAAATGTTGTTGGTAGTTTCAAATGTGTCATGTCCCAGGGCCTCACTTCCTTTAGCCAGACGTAAGTTAAGTGACAAGATTCTGGGAAAATATTAGCCAGGCATGCACCAATCCCAGCACTCAGGAGGCAGAGACAGGTGGATCTATTCGAGTTCAAGGCCAGCCTGGTCTACAGAGCAATTTCCAGGACAGGCTCCAATGTCAAAAACAAGCAAACAAAACAAAACAAAACAAAAACAAAAAATAATCTCCATTCTACAAACTCCAAAATGCCTAGAAAAAGTTAAATACAGAACTGCAGCTAATTACGGAAATTTCATTGCCACCTTCAAATGCAGACTTCATCTAGTTTCTAAAGAGGATGGCATACATAAGAAGTTGTTTGGAAATTAGATGAGAGCCTTCTTGTTGGAAAGTTGTGTATAATTGGTATTTTAGAAACTGGAGGGAAATGTTATTTTCCTAAGCTACATAAGCCTCTCCACAATAACCCTATGTTCTGTTCTGCTGGCCAAAGCAATACCACATTCAAACACAGCAATTAATTTACATATTAATACTTTATATATTTAAAACATGAATAAACCAAGTGTTTTAAAACTTTAAAAAGCTGGGAAGTGATGGCGCACGCCTTTGATCCCAGCACTTGGGAGGCAGTTCTAAGACAGCCAGGGCTGTTACACAGAGAAACCCTGTCTTGATCCTCTCCAACCAAAAAATAAGTCACCCAGGATGGCCTTCAACTCCTGGGTTCTGCCATGGCCTCTAGAGTAGTTAGGACTACAGATGTACATCACCACATATCCAGTAAGTAAAGGACTTTAAAAATTACTACCCATCTTCTGCAAAGTAAGGAGGGTCGAGTTTTCTTAATGCAGCAAATGCAACAAACTGACTAATTCTGGCACTAGGAGGCAGAGGAGGAACAGAAGTTCAAGGTCCTTGGCTATGTAGCAATGTCAAGACTAGATACATGAAACCCTGTCTGGGGCAGAAAATGAACATAGTCTATTCTCCATAAACAGCTCTAAAAAACAGTATGTGGACTTTTCCCCAGAACATGCTGGCCAAATTGTTGAGCAACCCTAGTGTGTCCGTACATCATCACTGGGTAGAATAGACAAACATACATTCACAATGAATTAGAACATTAAAGTTCTTTTATTACAAAATTCTGTACAATGAAGTGCCAAACAAACACAGCAATGTAATTACACTGGTGGACATATATATCTATATAATATTTCTATATAGATATTTTTATTTGTACCAAAGTAAAACTTTCAGGTGCCTAATCCTATCACCACTACTAAACCATGAATGAGTGACAAGTGTGTTGTCACTTCACTACTCAGCCAAAACTAACACCAAATGACCAAATCATGATGCAGCTGTAACTCAGTGAAACCAGTCAGGCTACAGACTTATAAAAATATTGTACTCAAATAGATTTAGCGTTATAGAGAAGGAATATATTATTTAAAACATTTAAATAGTGCACATGGACATTTTTGCATGTGGTATACAAAATAAAACATTCATAAAAATATACAGTGCACATAAAATTACATGTAGTAATCCTGTCTGGAGACCAAAAGAAACTAAAAAGTATACCACATGATGGGTTCAAATCAAATGATACATTTTTTGGCATTCTTAATTACTTTCCTAAAAATACATTATGAATGACCTAGCAATATCAAAAGGAACCACACAAACAAAGCTGGATTTAGTGCTTTAAAAAAAAAAAAAAAGAAAAGAAATCTTCCAACTACACGTTCACTACTGTTGGACTTTTCCCTCTCCCCGAAAAAAGGCATTGCACACACAAGTGAAATGGGAAGTACTAGAGACACTATTTATTATCAAGCTACCTCATGTTCTTACTGTTTAAATAATAGTGCCAGAAGTTCGAGGTTCATGCTTTCCTCGCCTTATTAAAGATGTTTGTGAAATTCCATTTATATGAAACAAACTATTAATATTAAGAAAATCATGCATGAGTCACTACATGCAAAGCATGGGCAAAGTGAGACATTTATCAATTCAAAAAAGCACCTGGGGACAGGGAAGGAGGTAGGGGGGAGGAGGAGGAATGATCCATTTAGATTAAGCCTGACTCACATCTGTTGTATTAATACAATTACTAGTCCATAAAAATGATTAGCAGATTATCTGAAAAGCCATGCAAAGCCAAAGGAAAAGAGATGCTAAGAGTCTATGTATGTATGACAAGGGGCATACCACTACACATCCTGTAAGTGGCTGCTTCAGACAGCAAGAGACTGGGTGAGGGGTGGTCATGTTAGAGGTGACTGCAATGCAGCCCTCTGAATGGACATGTAAAGCTGCAGTGGTATAGCCCTTGTAAAGAACAGATTTACTTAGTTGTAATCATTCTTATGCCAACTGAGGCCCATGTTATAAAATACACAAAGCTGAGCACCATCCAAGTCCCTCCATACTGGCATGGCTATTTTCTCACATTATCTGGAGGTGGGTGGGGGGGACAGCGCAGGATCTGATGCAGACAAGTCACATCATAGCTGGTAGACAGTAACTCAAGTCCTGTAGGCAGCGTGTGATGTGATTCAGCTCTGTGAGTGATGTGTGTCATGTTTCAAATGATTAAGCAAGGCTGCTTTGTGGTCTACCCACTGTTATCTTCATTCAAGTGGGACCACTGATTTGCAAATTCTAAGTACTACCTTTGCAGGTCTCACTCTGGGAATTACACAGAAAGGTGTTCCACACTAGGATTTGAAAATTCAGTTTGGTTTTCTAGGAAAAACAGAATACAGCTGCATATGTCACATTTATAGGCTTTTCTTTTAAATTCTCAGTCATTCTGTAAGAAAATGGCAACCGAAGAATTCAATGTGAAGATTTTCCTCTCAATTTTCTTCAGTAAAGAAAAAACAAAATAGTAAACAAAAGCTTTGTATTTCCAAAGTTCTTGAAAAGAATAAAATTCTTGTCTTTTGCTAATAGATGGATCTGTAGTAAACAATGGAGGGAGGGATCTGCATGTTTGCTAAGTGGGAAGAAGAGTCTGTGGTAATGTGGAACAGCCTTCCTTTCCCCTACTGAACCACAAGGACAAGGGCATTATTCTCTGAGTGCCTGACCGTGAACACATGATGAACCTTCAAGGAACACAACTGACTTTATGATGTCAATTTTCAGGGAACATATTTTATATGGATTTTGAAGAGTCTTGTTTGCTGATAAGAACTTCAAGAAGTCTAAGCTTGGCTTTAATTTTCTTGTATTCCTTATATTCCTCAAGCACTGGGACACGATCCTCTTTCTGGGCATTCCTAAGGAAGATAAAAAATTTAACTTAAAAGTTGTCCTATTATGGAGCATGGTATTACAAATTTAGGCTGAAATAAAAACTGCTGTGCAGGGCAAAAGGCTATTGACCTAAGTCACACAAAAAACATTCTACAAATACTGTTCTTGATGGATCCTCTAGTAACTGCTTAAATAACTTTCTACACACTTATCAGCAGGGTAGTCTGTAGGCGCTAGAAGGCTTCCACGAGCGAGCACTTCAGCATCAATTTGCTTTCTTTCAACATAAAGGTGCATGGAAATTATGCCACTTAATTTTCTTATACATGTGGTGCATGAGAGAAAGCCAGAGGTAAAATCCTTGGGTATCTGTCTTATCCACCTTGATTTTTGAGGAAGGGTTTCCTTTCCCATTGCCTGAAGCTAGCCAAGTAGCTAAGCTAGCCTGTTGTTTTTACTCTTTCACTCATCAGGAAGCTCCCAAATAAATCACATCTGGCCTTAGCTTTGCTTGCTTCTAGCCAGCTTTTACCTTTCTCTGTTTGTGTATCTTTACTTCTTACTCCATGGCTTGCTATGTAGCTGGGTGGCTGGCCACTTGCATCCTCTGCCTATCCTTTCTACTGCCTTGCTGTTGGCCATTCAGCTCTTTGTTAGACTAATAAGGTGTTTTAGACAGGCAAAGTAACACAGTAACATAAAAGAATGTTGTATCATTAAACAAATGTCCACAACACTGGCTGACTATCAAGGCCCAGTGATACAACATTCAGACACCACCACAAACTGGGTTGAGATCTGAGGATTAAACTCAGGTCCACATAGCAGGCAATTCACTTACTGAGCCATTTCCACAGTACTCCAATTTTTGAAATCACACTTAATAACCCATATACATGTGAAACTCCAAAATTATCTCCAGGCCCCAGCTCTTTTTAAAGAAAATATGCTTTGGAATTTGTAACAGCTCCTGGTTTGGTAGGGCCACCTAAGTTACTCTGAGACTTAATCCTTAACTTTGCACATATGTGTGCACAGGCATGTGCAGAGGTCACAGGAAGACTTTTTGGCATCTCTATCCCTCTTCATAAAACAAGGTATCTAGAATAGCCTAAAGCTTGCCAGTTTTTGGTTACACTGGCTGTTCAGTGAACCCCAACTCTGGGGATATAGGTCAACTATCCAAAGCAGTTAAAGGTACATGGCATACTGTTTACAATGTTTAAACCCAGTACTCAGGAGGCAGAGGCAGGCAGATCAAGGCCA